ATCCACATCCAGAAAAAGAATTACAGAATCTCAATGAAGATTGAGGCATATTATTTACTCTTTTTTTTTGTTCCTTCTTTCTCATGGTTTCTCCCATTGGTTCCAATTCTTCTTCTTTACAACATGACTAATGTGAAAAGAGGTTTAATATGAACGTATATGTAGAGCCTATATCAAATTGCCTGTCATCTTGGGGTGAGCGGAGGGGAGGGATAGGTAGAAAATTTGGAACTCAAAATTTTATGGAAGTGAATATGGAAAAGTAAAAATAAACCAATAAATATTATTATATCTCTTTTCTTAAATGACATTCACTGTGATACTCAGCAAAAATATGTAATATGACACTGTCCTTGATACATAAGGGCACCATCACCCAACCATACACACAAGATGATTCATTCTTGAATAATTAAAGAAAAAGCAGTCTAACATCAAAACCATTTTTCAAACACAAAGGGTATCTTTTGACCCCAAACTTCAAAGTCTTCAGAAAATGAAATATTAATATTTCATCTGGGAACAGAGGCAGGCTATGTCTTATAAGAAATAAAAGAGCACAAATCCAGAGGACCAATGACGAAACATGCTGTCCACCTCAAGACAGAGAAGTGATAAATTCAAGGTACAGAATAAGATATACATTTTTGGACCTGGACAATATGAGGATTTGTTTTGTTGTGACAAAACATCTTTGCTTCAAGAGCTTTCTTTTTTTTTCTTTTTTTTATTAAGAAGGCAGTTGGGAAGGAAGATGGTTTTAGTGATAGGAATATAGAAAAGAAAAAGAAAAAGAGATTTATTAAGCACTGTTTTAAATGCAAAGAAGTAAACAGAAGTCCAGAAAAAAAGTACAAGTAGGGTATGTTGAATTTATTATATGCTTAAAAGGAAAATCAAACTGTGCACAAGAGATAATCATCACTTCATGTACAATTCTCTTTTTCTTTTCTATTTTGTATATGGAAATACTCAACTTATTTGGTATTTGTTAGAATTAGAATAAAAAAATTTTTTAATTATTTTTGTAAAAATTAAGACTAATTTTTAGAAATTAATTTTTAAAAAGCAATTGTAGACTATAGAAAATCATATGAAACATTGTCCTCAATAATTGATAATAGATATGCACACCAAAATAGCACAGATGACAAAATATGGGAATAGTAAATGTTGGAAGAATTATGGAAATACGCATGCATGCAGTGTTGGCAGATCTGTAAATTAGTCCAAACATTCTAGAAAGCAATTTGGAAGTATTAAACAATCAACAACATTGATTAAATACTTTGTGCCAAGCACTATGCTAGGCACTGAGGATACAAGTAAAAAACATGAAAATAATCCCTACTCTCAAAAAGTTTACATTCTAATGAGGAAGTTTACATTCTAATATATATATATATACACATACATACATACATGCATACATACATAGATAAACAGATACACACACACAAATACATATATGTACATATGTGTGACACAGCCATTAAGTATCTATGGCTGGATCTGAACTCAGGTTTTTCTGGTTCCAGGACCAATGCTCCCTATCCACTGGACCAGCTGCTTCTAAAGATTTCAACAGGCCATCCAGTCTGAAATGTCCAATAAGCAACTGGGGCTGTGTGAAGTTCAAGGACGAGACTAGAGCTAAATAGATAGATCTGTGAGTCATCTACATAGAGATGATAGTTACATCCATGAAACCTGATAAGTTTACAGAGTGTGTGTGTGTGTGTGTGTGTGTGTGTGTGTGTGTGTGTGTGTGTACACAGGCCCACACACAAATGGAGAAGAGAAGACAGCCTAGGACAAAACTATGGGGAATACCCAAAGTTAGGGAGTATGAAAGAATTTATGAGCCAGCCAAGGAGACAGAGAAGGAACAGTCAGAGAGGTAGGAGAACTAGGAGAGAATAGTGTCACAAAACCCCAGAGACTAGAGAGTGGTCAGCAACATCAAATGCAAGAGAGAAGTTGAAAAGAATAAAAACTGAGAAAAGACTATCAGATAGGTTAATTAAGGGACTGTTGGTAACTTTGGAGGGAGTAGTTTCAGCTGAGGAATGATGTTGGAAGCAAAGATTGCAAAAGACTGAGGAGTGAGAGGGGAGGAAGGAGAGGCAGCAAGTACAGGCAGCTTTTTCAAGCAGTTTGGCCAATAAAAGGAAGACAGCTATAGGACAGCAGCTTAAGGAGATGGTAGGATCTAGTAAATGGTTTGGGGTTTTTTGTTGTTGTTTTTTTTAAGATAGGAAAGATTTGGGCATGTCTGAAGGCAACAGGGAAAGAACTAGTATGTAAGAAGAGATCAAAGATTCAGGAGAGAGGGACTGACTGAAGATGCAAACTGTTGGAGGTAGGCTGACTTTGGCTAATAGATTATGCTAATGAAGTGACAGAAATGCCCATACCCTTAATCCCAGATATCCCACTACTAAGGATGTTCATAAAGAATGTCAGTGATAAAAAGAAAGGGCAGATATATTCCAAAATATTTACACAAGTACTTTTTGTAATAGCCAAGAGGTGGAAAGAAAGTAGTTGCTTATGAATTGGGGAGTAGCTAAACAAGTAGTGGTACATGAACGTAATTGAACATTTACAATGTATTGAAAAATTCTTACTCTGTAAGAAATGATGAATATGACAAATACAGAGAAACAGAGGAAAGCCCCTATGCTTGAGCAGTTCAGTGGTAGAATTCTCCCCTGACATGTGGGAAGCTATTCCCAGGCCATGTGCCTTCAGGCCACTGGATGGAACAGAGAACAGAGAGTTAGGTGTGGGGTCAGAAAGACCTGGGTTCAAATCCTGCCTCATGAACTTTCTAGCTATGTGATCCTGGGAAAGTCACTGAAAGTCTCTGAACCTCAGTTTCTTCATATGTAAAATGAGGGGGCTGGATTTGATGGCCTTTAAGGTCCCTTTCAGCTTTAAATCTATTATCCCATGAACAAGTGAACAGAAGCAAGAATACAATACACACAATGTAAATGGAAATAACAACAGAACAACTGAAACTGAATATTGTGAAATTATAATAACCAAGCTTAGCCCTAAAAAAGAGATATGAAAAAGCACCAGTCTCCCCTGCCTTTGCAGAAGTGGGGTACAATGGGTATGGAACACCTCACATAAATGTCAGACTTTTTTGATATGTTGGTTAGTTTTGCAGAACTATTTTTTTTCTTCTTCTGTCTTCCTTGTCATAAGAGATGACTCTTTGGGAGGGAGAGGGTAAGAGCATGTGTTGAGAAATGTAGGGGATGTTAAAACAAAAGCTGTCAATAAAAATTTATAAAAATAGTGTCTTTAGGAAAAAAAAGTAAAGGAACATTCACAAAACAAGAATAGGAAGATGCCAATTTACATGTAATTAAAAAGATACATAAGGACATGCAGTGGCCTGCTGAACTGCTAAATAAAACCTTTTCAACAAAGTCAGTGGAATAACTTCAAGGACTAAAGATGATGACAATGATCTATTCTGAAGAAAAGCTCCCAAAAAGAATATAGTCCCTTTGGGCTTCTTGTACAAACTGTATATTCAATTCAATTCACCTCAATGAGCATTAATGAGTACCTAATGATGAAATTAATAATAGATAATATTCATATAAAGCTTTACAGATTTCAAAGCACTTTCCATATGTAATCTCTTGTGAGTCTCACGACTACCTGGTGGAAGTAGATGTTATTATTATCCCTTTTGTACAGATGAGGAAACGGGTTAAGTGACTTATCCAAGGTCACACAACTAGTGAGAACTGAGAAAGGATTCCTAGGTTCCTAATTCCAAGTTCAATTCTTTATTTATAATGTGCCAAACAGTGTACTAAGTGGTAGAGATACAAAGACAAACTAAATCATGCCTGCCCTCAAGCAGCTTACATTCTACTGGGAGCAAACAACATGCACACGTATGAGGCATATGAGGCAGCTAGGTGGCACAGAGGATAGAGTGTCAGACTTGGAGTTAGGAAGCCCTGAATTGGCATCCTGCCCCAGACACTGACCAGCTGTGTGATGCTAGGCAGGTTACCTAACTTCTCTCAGGCTCAGTTTCCTCATCTGTAATATGAGGATAATAATAGTATCTCATAAGATTGTTCTAAGGATTAGATGAGATAAAATATGTAAAATTCTTTGAAAATCTTAAAGCCCCATACAAATGCTAGCTATTTTATATACAAAGTAAATGCAAAAATCATTACAGGTAGAGTCAACAATATGACCCTTTCCCACTAAATCAGCTTTTCTTAAATCACAAATGTGAAAGGCAGCTTAATCTAAAAAACCTGTACAAAAGTTTGTTTTCATGATCTTTTATCTCTGAATCATTTAGTCTTAATATCTTTCATTTATGCTCCCATGCTGATTGATTCAAAGTTCTCTTTTCTTTGAAGACAGAGAAAAAAATTTGAAATGAGAAAAATCTAATTTAGAAATTAATACCAAGTTACAGTCAAGAAAAGGGGACAGATATATAAAATCTACCTCCAAGATCTATCAATCAACAAAGTAAGACAACTTCTCACAAATATACTCACATCAAGCAGAAGCACAGAGAAGCAACGGCAGTAGTATTTTAAAACAGGGAAATCCCTCTATCAAAGGAGGTGAACTCCTGGCCTGAACTGAACCTTATGGTCTTAGAGAGTTGCCTAGAATACTAAAAGGTTAGGTGACTTACCTAAAGTAACTGTGGTGTGTGTCTGTGTCTGTGTCTGTGTGTCTGTGTCTGTGTGTGTCTGTGTCTCTGTGTCTCTGTGTGTGTCTGTCTGTATGTCTGTGTCTGTCGGCGGCAGCACCTGAATCCAGTTCTTCATGGCTTTAAGCTAACTCTAGTATTTCAGATAAATGACAAACTATACAAGAGATAGTATGTCTATCAAATTTGATTATGACACCTGTTAGCTTTTAGATAGAATCAGGTCAACTTCTTTACCGTCTCATACTTGGCTTAAAATAGTTTTTTAAAAGGGGAGTTTTACCTGCTATCAGAATCTGATGCTATTTCCTTTCTCCCTCCAAAGCGGATCTGGCACTGCACCAACAAAAAAAAAAAAAAAAAAAAGTCATTTACATTAATGGTTGAGATAGGACATTTTAAATCAGTCAGTCAATAAACATTTAGTAAGCACCTACTATGTGCTAGACACTATGCTAAGCACATACAAAGAAGGACAAACGACAGTCCCTGCTCTCAAAGAACTCACAATTTAATGGAGGAGAAAACATGTAAACAACTATGTACAAACAATTTTCAGGGGGAAATGAGAAGAGGGCACAGGAAGGACAAACTCAAGATGCTGAATCAGAATCTTGCTATCCTTTAGCTATTATTACAAGACTTAAAAAGTCAACAAGCAAACTGGCCCTCCACTTATCTTAAAGCAAGAAAAAGTTAATCTTTCTAAAAGGAACAAGGAAACACTTATCATCCACTTATTGTCAAAGGGTTACTTGAAAGTTACTGAAATAACTGGGTGGTGAACCTTCTAGGCCCCCATAACTCATAAAGATTGTCTACTACTGAGGGCTGAGTTGGTGGAGGAATATCTACCTAGACACACCAACAAAAGGAGAATTGCTTCACAATCAAGACAATGTTAACTGCATAGTCTCACTAGTATAGGTTCTTTTCTTACCTGTTTAACAGCATCCAGCAGCCGTTCTAGTAGAAACTGTCTTTTGGTATCATTGCTCTGTGATCCTAAAAGTCAACAAAATGATATTAATTTTATTTATTAGACATATATAATGACTTAAGATATCATAGCACATGGTTTTCCCCACTGAAGCAGTCATCTCTGAAAACAATGTTAAACCATAACCCATGTTACTCTTGCTAAGGACAACCAACATTCACCAAACTTCTTAAATATCACTAAGATTAACTTCTAAAAGATATGTCACGTCAACACGAATTTATTAAACACATATTATATTCCAGGCAGAACTGACATAAAACGCTTAAAATGCAAAAGTGACCTAAAAACTATCAGCCTTTTACACACTACTATATGCAACTTACCAAAGGGAGGTATGCATTCATGGACTTTCACTCTAACCTGATGACATGTTCTGTACTGGCTTTCTCATGCAAGTCCCTGAAACACTTTTCGAACATCTGTGTCTATAAATAAAGTCTTCTCTTTAAATATCTGAAAGTTTGGTTTGTGCTATTCTTTAACCTAACAGAAATAAAGAAGTTTTTCTTTCTTTTCCCTGTTACTATATCCAGAAGGTCAGTTTACCCTTTGAGCAATGCCAATACAAAACTCAGCATGGTATTCTGATTTTTCTTATTACTTAAGATAGATGGAAACAAATTCAAGTACACAATTAAATCTATTACAGTATGATGGTATTTGAGGGTACAAACTACATGCCGTTTAATAAATCATGTATATTTAGCCTAGAACAGGTAAAATACATTATAGCATCTCTCTGACATTATAGCAGGTCTCTCTGACATTACTCCACTTTTAGCCTTTCCAAACAGTTAAACTCTTAAGTTCTGACTTGACTCATTTCCTCCCTCCAGACAAAAGTCAAATAACTGCCTTTAGAAAGTAACTACAATCTCTGAACAAAGTCCTTTCCCTGTGGGACGTCTTCCTCTTATGACTTGATTAATGCTACTATACTCTTAGCCAACTCACCAATTGAGTCCTGACCCTAAAACTCCCATTATCTGTCTTCCTTCTATTTTTTTATATCCCGCTTAAGCCTATGTCCTTCATTAGCGCGTTGTGTACCCTTTCCCCATGTCCTTTTTTGATCTGTTGATTTCATCTCTGCAAGATCTCTTGTATATGCCCCCTCCTCTCTTCTGACACTGCTACCACAATAATGAAGGCCCTCATCATTTCATACCTGTAAAAGCCTGCTGGTGGGTCTGCCTGCCTCAAATCTCTCCCCACTTCAATTCATCCTCAATTCAGTCACTAAAGTGTTTTTCCTAAAGTGTAGGTCCAATCATGTCGTCCCCACCCCACCCAAAACACACAGAACAACCTCCAGTGGCTTCCTACTATCTCCAGGAGGGGGCCACCTCCATTCCTCCTGATCTATATCTTGCCACTGGACCCAGATGGCTCCAGAGGAAAGAGTGAAGCTGGTGACTTTGCACAGCCCTCCCTCACTTAAATCCACTTCACTTGCAAGTCATAGCATCATCTTCCTGATACCATGGTCCTCTTTGAAAACGAAGGACAAAAACAAAAATAACAACAACATTACCTTCAGAAGAAAATACAAAATGCTGTTTGGCATTCAAAGACCTTCATAATATAGCTCCCTCCTGCCTTTCCTATGTTCTTACAACTTACTCCCTCCACATATTCTTAGATCTAGTGACACTGGTATGCTGATTGTTCCACAAAAAAAGACACCCCATATAGAAATCTATTTTACCCTACAGGAAAATAGAAGGGGAAGGGAATGGGGGGGCGGGATAGAAGGGAGGGCAGATTAGGGGAAGAGGTATTCAGAATGCACGCCATCTTCCGAAGGAGGGAGGGGCAAGATGGGGAGAAAATTTGGAACTCAAAATCTTGTGGAAGTGAATGTTGAAAACTAAAAGTAAATAAATTAGTAAATGTTTAATATAAAAAAGACACCCCATCTCTCAGTTCTGGACATTTTCTCTGGTTGTCCCCCATGCCTGGAACACTCTCCTCCATTCCAACTACTGACCTCTCTGTCTTCCTTTAAGTCCAACTAAAACCCCACCTTCTACAGGAAGCTTTCCCCAACCCCTCTAATTCCAATGCCTTCACTTTGTCAATTATTTCCTATCTATGCTGCACATCGCTTGCTTTGTACATATCTGTTTGTATATTGTGTCCTCTATCAGACTGTAAGCTCCTTGAAGGCAAGAACTGTCTTTTGCCTCTTTTTGTATCCCCAGAATGTAGCACAGTGCCTCACACATAGTAGGTACTTAATAAATGTTTACTGATTGATTGATTAAAACAAATCAACCTTTGGTCTGAAGTTAACTCATAAGCTCCAATCTCCCATACTCCCTCACACCACAATAAGCTTCCCTGGCTATTACAGCTACAATTATTTTTTCTGAGATACTAAAGAGGAATGTGCCACAAGACTAACTCTCTCACCTTACTCTCAAGAATATTTTAAAAATAACTTCTGTATCTGACATATGAACAGAAAAAGAATTCTCCAACGGCTTAAATCTTATTTATCTTTTACTCAATAATAGACAAAGTTAATAGTAAAGGCCAAACTGTAAACCATACTGAACTCTGCCCTCCCTTCTCTCTAGTTTCTAAGTGAACAGGCACACAAAAATGAGTTTTCACTGCTTTTAAACAAAGCCACCCACAAGGAGTATCTGTGTCAGTGAAGGAGGTCAGGAGAAGCTTCAGGGTCCTTAGAGCCATAAATTCCTATTGCTGCCATATTATTCATATAAGTTCAGCCCCATAATGTAATCCATACTTGTTCAATTATACTAAAGGAAACAGTGATTCTGTGCTGGCAACAAGCAACCATTTTAAACTCCTGAGATGGGCACTATTCTATCTAAGCCCACAGTATATGCTCAATGTTTGTTGAACTGAACACAACCAGTTTTTTTTTTAACATGCATGTAATCAGGAAGCAAGCTTAAAATATAACAGAAGGCCTAATAGTATGCTCAAAACACTGAAGGAGGTTTAAATAAATAAAAATACAGTATCGTTAAGAGCTTTTATCAAAGCAAGAATTTATTGCGCTATTCAGACAGTATTTCAAACCTGATTCCTGCTTAAAATCCTCCCCAAAGTCTAACCTAGGTTATGGAAGTGACTGAGTTCTTGGAGGTTTTGCCAGTAAAGCACAAGTTCTAACAGGTTCTAATATTCTGGAAAGGTTCTAAGTATAGTCTGGGAAAGGATTGTGTCTGGCTTCTGAAGACCAACCTGGCTGAGATATTCAACACCAGCACATTAGCCACTTGGTAGTACATTCTTGGACCTTAAAAATCCATGGAATAAAGAAAAATGCAAATGGCCCTCAGTCCTAGGTGGTCCTTTCCATTACTGCAGTGCCAGTGTCAAAGTGTTAGAAAAGAGAGGAAGGGGCAGCTAGGTGGTCCAGGGGATAGAGCCCTGGCCCTGGAGTCACAAGGACCTGAGTTCAAATATGACCTCAGACACATAACACGTAGTAGCTGTGTGACTCTGGGCAAGTCACTTAACCCCAATTGCCTCGAAAAAAAAAAAAAAAAGAGGAGAAAATGCTAAGAATTACACAATTTTTAGACTATCTATAAATATTAATTTATTTACTGGTAAGACAGTCCAGTGGACATATGTCATCATGTCAATCTTGTCATTCTTACCATAAAAGAAATTAGAAGACAAAAAGTTGCAGCTAAATGAAAAGATGGTTCCCATGGCTTTCCACAAAGAAACCAATAAAGAAGAGAGTAACGTTGTCTTTAATTATGTGTCCAAAGTCAACAATAAACATCATTTTATGGTCATCTCATATTCCAATGCTCGTGATAAATATTTACAAAAAGTACATCATGAAGATGACAACTTATATGCTAACATCTGTTGCAAAGGATAAGAAGGTAGAAAATTTCTGCAAAGATCCTCCAAAGTAAACCTATACTTTAATACTCAGAGATTTAAATGCAAAGATGGATATAGAAAAGGACAGTAAAAAATGTCAGACAATGTGGTTTGGAAATAAGATATGATATAACCCAAAGACTCATAAAATGTAATTATAATAGCTAACATTTATGTAGCACTTTAAGGTTTACAAAGCACTACACACA